ACCTGGTTTGAATTTTCTGGCTAAAAAGCAGAAGAAAGCTTTAACAATAGAAATAACAACTGGTTGCCGTGATCACAACTTCTACAACCACATCCCTCTAGTGAACCTGTGCTGTTATCATATACTACCTTTCACTGATTATCCTTGCTCTCTGTGTAGGCAGGAAGGGTCCATGATAGCACAGGTGAAAAGCTCTGACCCAAGGTCCTGCAGCTACCAAATGGCAGGCCTGAAACTAGAGTCCAAGCTAGTTCTTTTCCCATTATTCTCTGTAGGAGAAAAAAAAAAACTTTTTGTTTTTTTGAAAAGAAAAACACAATGAAGACCTTTAGTACGATTCATGTTTGTGATCCTGTAACTTTTTTAAAAAAATATTTTTTAGTTGTAAATAGATCTTTTATTTTATTTATTTATTTATATGCGGTACTGAGGATCGAATACAGGGCCACACACATGCCAGGCAAGTAAGTGCTCTACAACTGAGCCACAATCCCAGCCTGTGATTCTGTAACTTTTATCCATTAATACTTCTGCCACATGTTGGTGGAGAGAATATCAACACCTTAGAGCCTGTATGTTCGAGGCACATTGCTAGACACTGGACATATGTTTATTCACCAAATCCCTTTCACAACTGTGTGATGGAGATATTTGGATATCTGTTTTACAAACGTAAAATCCAAAGTTCATCGCCTTTGTGAATTGTGGAGATGGAATTACACCCAGGTCTTTCTAAGCCTAATACTCAGGATCACTGAAAGCTGTGTCACGAAAGCAACATTAGAACCTTCTCCAGGAAGAAGGAAGCAGGATAAGCTACCCAGAAGACTTGTGTGGACAGTTACATAAAACTGCCCTGCTAGCATAGAGACTTGAGAGGACATACTATGGAGGTAGATAAAACTGGATTTAAGTCCATTTCTGACTCATTCTAGATAAATGTGTGACTTTGGGCAGTACCTGCCCTCTCAAATCCAGTTTCTTTGCTTGATTAGGAAGAGCAATTGTAGTTCTCATGAGGACTGAATGGGCTAACTTATGTGTAGAGATCTCAGTGCACACTGTATAGAGGAAAAATAGAGCTCTGCTAATGTGATTTTTAAGTGATAATGATGAGTATCAGGATAATAATAACTATAAACCTGAAGTTGCATAGCTTTATATAGTCAAGGAAGAATTTTAATACAAAGCCAAAAATTTAAGTGGAATTGGGACATTCTAATTGAATTTTTCTTGAGGGCTGAGATCAATTAATAAATATTAAGAAATTATGACAAGTGTACATTTCCCCCCTAACTGATTAGTGTGTTTCAGTGTGTGGATCATACTCGTTTCCTCCATGAGACTTGAACACAGTATGCACAGGTTTCTATCATATCTTTTAATATGATTAAATTGTCATATCTTTTAATAGGGATCAATGAGGACAAAAAGGTGAGGGATCTCCTCGTTGAATTATAGACACCGGAAGAAGTGTGTTAGCTGGGGAAGTTCAAGTGGTCTTAGGGTCTTAGGGTAGGTGATGGGACACAACTACTGGTGTGTGTGTGTGTGTGTGTTTAGGGCAACTGTGTTCTTACATACTCAGGTGTAATGGCCTTATGGCAGAGATTTTTTTTCTTTTACTTATATTAAAATCTGTTTTGTTTCTATATATCACTTTAAATAAACATTGATTTGATAAAAGTGGGGCAATATTGCTGTTATATTTTCCTTCTAATTCCCTCCACCTCTTTTTTGTCTCCTTAGATTTTCTTGAGGTACATCACTCCATCTCTTAGCATTCCTTATTCTTTAAAATTAGCAAACGTACTAGCTAATCTCAGAGACCCCTTCCATCTCTCTGTCTCTATAATTCCATGATTTTTATAGTAATATAGATGTGTGACTCTCAAGCTAGCAGTTTGGAACATGCAATTATGAGGCATTTGCTAGCAAGGCCCTTTGCCTTATTTGAAATCAAAACTTACATTGATTTATGAGTTAAAATGAATATTTCATTTGGAAAGCAACTGTGTTGCCAGAGATGCTTTCATTTCTTTGGAAAGGTGGTGTGTGGACCCTGTGCCCAAGGATAAGTGCAGTCCACAGTAAGTACTTCTTGTGCATTTCTGCTGCCATCCAGGGTTCATTTCTTGTTAGTGAAATATTGTTATTCAGGTTTAAACGCTTGCACTATTATTAGAATCAAGGTTGTTTTCTGGAGAGTGAATTAAAATCAAAGAAGACATTATTTCTGAAGAAAGTTTCTATTTTAATCAGCATAGTGTAAAGGGTGAACCTCGTCAGCAGCCTTCTCTTTTGTTCCACAACTGTCTTTTCCCCTAGTGACTTTTCACGAAGGCCCACTTCCTTTCACTGGTACTTAAATTTGTTGCCTAATTTGATTTTCTTAGAGCTTTTCATATGGTACCATTTTTTTGTATCCCATGATCCCTGAGAAAAGCAAACATACCCAAGGTGACCTGAGACTGTGCCTCTGTCTCCTAACCTCATGGAGGTTTTTGTCTTCCTGTGGTCAGTGTGTCTCCAGCATGTTGATGTTTTCTTCAGGTTCCTTCCTCTTGGAGGTACATATTCTTAAAGGACAAGGTTTTTGAACTCTGTGGCCATATATGAAGTAAAAGCACTTTGTTAATAGGAAATACCAAGTAAATAGCAACACTAGTACCCTTGGTACAATATTGAAGCCTGCCATTTTTCGTGACTAAGCGTGCAGGCATGTAAAACCCATTTTAGGTAGTCCTGGCTTGCATTTTGGTTCTTAAAGAGCTGGTAAAGAGAATATTCGTTCCCACTGAATACTTTTCATATGATAGCAGTTAAAATCAGTTAACATGCACTACTCAGCTTTAGGGTGAACGTCTTGGTGTCCTAAGCCATTTCATCCTCGGTAGGATGGGATAGGTAGTTGGCCTGGCATATGGTCATTGGTCTGAGGTCTTATTCTTAGCATTACTGACATTTGGTCCAGATTGTTCTTTATTGTGAGAGGTAGGGGGATGTGCTGTGCATTGCATGATATTTGGCAACATCCCTGGCCTTTACTTACTAGTTACCAATAGCATCCCCGTGGTTGTGACAACCAAAATTGCCCAATGTTCTCATGGCGGGGTGTGAGGAGAAGCAAAATTGACCCAGTCGAGAACCACTGGTCTAGAGTTATTTTGTTTAGGTATATTCAAACTTTAAAATGTTTGGATATGAACAGTAATGAACATAGTGGTTACCAAAGTCTTGTGATAAATTGTTTTCTGTGGAATGACATGAATGAAGAACAGGATTGATATCACTTTCATGTTAGAAGGCTTTCTTGATAGAACTTCAATATTGCTTTGAATTTGTTTCTCCCACTGACATCTGAGAATTCAGTTATCAGTGAAAGGCCACGGAGGGGAAAAGCCTTGGAACAAACAACACTTTAAATTTATAGGTTACTATAAGGATTGGGATGGACTATGCAACTGGATAAATAGCACTAACATAGTCATTAAAGATAGGTTGTGGCACATACAGACATTCCAAAATATTTTTTGAATGGATGTGTGATGGATGGAAGAGTGAAGGATATGCTTTTGCTAAGTCATTTAGCTTTAGGAACAATATTTCATCGGTGATTCATGGAGGGTGGCATGATGACAGAAGCACAGAGTCATGATTATGAGCACTGTGGTTGCTTCCATTCCTCTGTGGTCTCCTCTGGGGACCAGCCTGCCTCTGTTCCTCACTGATGTTGTGCACTTCTCTCCCCTGCCCTGTATTCCACTGGTTCTCCCCTCCCTTTATACTGATTGCCAGAATTGATTTTCTGAGAGCTTTCACAGTGTACCATTTCTTTCTATCAGACTCCATGATATTATGGAAAAAAAATTCCCACCACATTTGATTGTGCATCTTCATTTGGGTATTCCTGAGTAAAGAGCTAGTTTAATCATTCTTGTTTGAATCCAACTGGTGATGTGATTTCTAACCAATCATCTTTGCAAATCATTCCTTTTGATCTCCCAGGTTCCATCTCTTTCTTTGAGAAGTTATTCCAGAACCATTAAAGTTTTTGTTTAAAGGAACCAATATTGATAACTCTGATTGATGTATTTATGTGCTCACAATGATATTGTTGGTTCAATACTGAAAAGTATTTTCTCTATTTTACAGTTTAAGAAATTGATAAATGTTTGAGATAAAGGATATGCTAATTTACCCTGATTTGATTATTGCACAATGTATACATGTATTGAAACATCATATTGTACTCTGTAAATTTGTGCAATTCTTATATGTTAATTAAAAGTGAAATAAAGTTGGGCACAGTGGGTGCACACCTGTAATCCCAGGGGCTCAGAGGCTGAGGCAGGAGGATTGCAAGTTCAAAGCCAGCCTCAGTAACTTAGTGAGGCCCTAAGCAACTTAGTGAGACCCTGTCTCAAAATAAAAAATAAAATGGGCTGGGGATGTGGCTCAGTAGTTAAGCGCCCCTGGGTTCAATCCCTGGTACCAAACAAAACAAAACAAAACAAAACACTAGGACTGAATGGTAGAATGTTTGCTTAGCATGCATAAGGCTTGGACTCAATCCCCAGCATACTAATAATAATAGTAATAATAATAACAATAACAGTGGTAATAAATTTAAAAAGGAGTTTCAGCCCAAATATGTTAAAACATAGAGCCAAGTGCTTACAGTAATTGAGGAGTTATATAAAAATTCAAATTATTGGGCCTACACATAGGACCAGTTCTGTAGCATCAAGGTGAAGGATAAAATTGAGTTGGGACAGATAATTTGATCTAAAAAAAACTACTGAATCTGCAATACTAGAAAGCTGAAACTTTTTGTGTTGTGTTGTAAATTCCTGTAATGATGGAAGGCAGCTGTTTCATCATGCTGTGGCTTTGATGAATGGGAACATCTTTGCTAATGTGGACAAATCACTAAATATCAAGGTGTTTCCTCTTGCTTTCATTTTAATTCTGCTCCTGGCTTGTTTCCTTTCTCTCAGACCTTCTCTGACCATGCCTCATAGGAACCTGACAGGAAGCTGCAATGTTAATTGTGGTTGTAAGATTCATGAATATGAGCCAGTGTGTGGATCAGATGGAATTACGTACTTTAACCCCTGTCTGGCTGGCTGTGTTAACAGTGGTAATCTTAGCACTGGGGTGAGTATATTTCCTAAATTCCTCTTTTGTTGTTAATCCAATGTATTGTGACAGGGACGTGATAGAATTCATATGCAACCATGATGACTTCAGTCTCCTTTTTCAAGAGGCTCCAAATAACCTACAAAGTACTTCGGATAAACACCTTGTGGAAAGGGAGTTATGCATTGCTCTCATGGTTTTGCTGGGGAGGATGGGAGTGTTTAAGTGTAGAGATTTGGTTCCATATCAGCCCTCTCTACTTTACATTCCATGTCAACTCAGTGAAACTTGATAAGATTGGGCTCCTGGCCTTCCATTTGTTTTCTGACAGGGCCCCTGTAATGGATTTGAAGGTCAAGAAGACCATAGTTTGTGCTGGTGGAAGAGACAGGAAAACAACTCCCCTGATTCTGGGAAGATGGGCAATGGCAATTTTTCACAAACTATCAGTTTGGTTCAGACTCTTTTAAAGAATTTTTCATTTGTTCTTTTTAGTTATACATGAGGACAGAACGTATTTTGACACGTTGTACATACATGGAGTATAACTTCCCAGTTTTGTTATTGTACATGATATGGAGTTCCACTGGTTGGTTCAGACTTTTTTTTTTTTTAACTTTCAGAGTAAAGATATTTCTGTTCAAGAATAGGCTATTTTGAGAATTCCCTCCTCTGTGAGTTATAAATAGGCTGTAATACTGTGGGAGACGTTTTGCGTATTCTACTCCATTCTTTATGGAGCCTGGTTTGATTCTTTGCATAAGAACAGATCGGAGGGCACTGCTTTAATTGAAAGGTTAATATGTGTTTGCTTGTTCTGCGCAGGTGATAGGGATTAAACCATTGACTGAATGTTTTGAAGATGTCATTTTTTTTTTTTTGATTTCCGAGTTTGGAACTAGAGTGATAAATTGAGAATCCTGTTGCTGGTTCCCTGTATGTAATTGGTGAGTTCCAGTGTGTGACTGTGCTGAGAGGGAGGGTGAGATCTGTCCCTCTCAGTGGCCAAGCTCTTTCTCAGGTTCCTCTCTTTCTTTTAAGAAGACTGGAAGGTCCTTTGTATAAAGATGGTCAAACAGCACCCACCTTTACCCCCATTCTTACTGTTGCTCCAAGTGTTCACCACATGGACCAGTTCACTGATTTTCATTCAGTAAAATGCAACATAATAAACAAGGAAGGTTAATTGACCGAGTAAACATTTGTTGGCTTATTTTGGTTTTGTATAAGTAACACCCAATGAAGTTTCACTTTTCACTTCACTAAGAAAATTTTGGTAGTTAAAAGAGAATTTTGTCTCTTTCACTCTTCTGTAGCGTCAGTCCCTTGAATGCATCTAGCCTGTCAGTGTGGACTCACAGATATTTGTTGGAAAAAAATGGACAAGGGATTTTGGGTGCTCCAGTGCTTCCTGACAAAGTCTAGGAACAGCACTGAGCTGGGCCATGGTCACCAGACCTAAGTTACATTCATGGAGTGGGTTATTCATCCATAGCTTGGAGTTCACCAGATAACTAAAGGAGATTCAAAAGGTGTTTAAACTAGAACAACTAATGAGAAGCTCACTATTATTTGTACTGAAGCCATCATGATTGTGTTATGAATTCTTTCCCATTTATTTAGCAGATATTTACTTTAGACCCTGTTCCACTATGTGCTCAGCATTGTGGTGGGTGATCAGGGTTGTGCTAGGTACTCTGGTAAGCATGCGTAAAGATCAGGCTGGGTTCCTGTTTCTAAGGGGCTTTTATAATTGGAAAGCCCAAGAGTTCAAACAATCTGAGCATCTTAAGTTTACAACCCAAATTGAGCTTACAGAATGTAAACATCATAGAATTGTTGACAGCTTCTTAGAAAAGTTTAGGTTTAAGCAGTTTTAACTGGCAGATTCTGATATTGTTAGACACATGCTTTGATTCCTTACTATTATCAGTGAGGAGGGTGTTTTCTGTGAAATATTTTGCATTTTTAAAATGCTGCAGTAACTATTGTAGAATATTTTAGTTCACTTTGTCTTAATAGTCCTATGCCACATTTTCCTTTTGATTGGCACACAACCTAACTGTATTTGCTCACTTAGATTCGGAATTATACAGAGTGCACCTGCGTCCAAAGTAGACAAGTGATCACTCCGCCCACAGTGGGACAGCGAGGCCAGCTCCGAGTGGTTATCGTCAAAACATATCTCAACGAGAATGGCTATGCTGTGTCAGGGAAGTGCAAACGGACCTGCAACACCCTGATCCCATTCTTAGTTTTTCTTTTCATAGTCACCTTCATCACAGCATGTGCCCAACCGTCAGCCATTATAGTGACACTCAGGTGAGAACAGCACTGGGCTCCAGGGGTGGGAGATGAACTAGCATTGCCAGAGCACATATTCCAGGACAAGGGATGACGGGGCACAGTGGAGAGGAGAGTGAGGTTCCATGGTTCAGGAGAGTGCTCCTGGGGAGCTCAAGAGGTGAGTATTTCCATGTTAGGAAGGGAAAGAATGGTTGCAACATTTCATATTCTAGAACTTTCTTTGATTGGGTTCTAGTCTCTTTGGTTCCTTAAGTCTCTGACCTCAGAGGCTCAACTTCAGGAATTGAAAGCCATCCCCCATGTTACCTCTGCAGGGAAGCCAGACCCTGGAGCGGGGCAGGAAGCAATTTGGTAAAGTTGCTAAATCATGCATACCACAAAAGCTATTATCTCCAACTTTGTAGACAGTACTGTACCTCCTGGGTCAGTGATGAATTATGCTGGGCCTGCATTTTGAAATGCTGAGTTCATTAGTTTTACTATCATATAAAATTTTGGAATGGAATCAAAGAGAGTTTGACTGGGAAATGTGATTTTCCACTTATTCAGGATCTTGCTTTTTTTGCTGTATTATATATCCTGTTGTGTGTTTTTTTTTGTTGTTGTTTATAAGAAGACATGAAAGCTAATTTTGTTCTATTAAAAATGTTGATGCTGGCACATTTGAATTAATGTGTTGGTATTTACAGTAAGGGCTGCACTGGGCAAGGAAAGGCAGCATGTTGAGCAAGAAGAGCAAACCATTGGTGGATTTAGGGGGACTAGGGATGCAGGACAATGAGGATGTGAAGAAGGGAGTCCTCCTTCTTCCTTTGGCTCCTTGGAACCCCACCGTGCTGGGCACCTGGCAGGACATACCTGCTGATATGTCACCCTTACTGAGAGTGGGCAGGTTGCACCTTCATGTTCTGACTTCTTGCCTGTGGGATAGTGAGGGAGACATTTCCCAGAAAAGCTGCTCCTTGGGAGTCTGATAACAGCACAGGAAAGGCCCCCTTGTTTAGTTACCCCGTCCCTCCAACGGCAGATATTTATAGAGTAACAACCACATGGGCACAACTGGGCAATTTGCTACGAGGCATAAAGAATTTAGAGAAAAGACAACAAAGATACTGGTCCTCAGAAAATTTCCATTGTTTAAGGGATAGAAAGGATAAGGTATATCATTGTTTTGCTTGAGACAGGGTCTTCTATGTTGTCTAGGTGGGTTGAGAGCCTCTGGTCTCAATCACCTCTCCCACCCCAGCCTTCCAGTTAGCTGGAACCACCATGCCAGGTCCATCATTTAACAAACCATAAGAATCATTAATATATTTGCTTACTTAAGTAATATCATTTTTCACTTTGTTTAATAAAAAAAAAAAAAAACAGAAAATGTGGCTAGGAGGAGCTTAGTCTTTCTTTTTTTGGCGGGGTGGGGTACCAGGGATTGAACTCAGGGGCATTCAACCACTGAGCCAAATCTCCAGCCCTATTGTGTCTTTTTTATTTAGAGACAGGGTCTCACAGAGTTGCTTAGTACCTCACTGCTGCTGAGACTGGCTTTGAACTTGCGATCCTCCTGCCTCAGCCTCTGAGCTG